TAATTCCTGTATGTATTGTTTGCATCTTTCTATTTTCTTTTTGTTGAGGATAATTTTACCATTTTCTTCTAATAAGATAGTACTGTGATTTGTTTTTCAGATGCCATCCAATTTTTTTACCTTTCTATGTATATTGAAGTCATAATCCCTTTCCAATAGTACATACTTCTATTTCCACATACTTGTTGAATTTATATTTTTTTTATTTTAAAAAAGCAAGTTAACAATGCTAGACTTATACAGCTCATTTCTGAGGGGCCAGAGCTCTATAACCCAGCACCTAATCATTATAGGGATGTAAATAAGAACAATCTGTGGGAAATAATAGCAGCCAGCCTTGAAGACAGCTGTGTACATATATTATAAATATATAAATTTTTATTGAGTCACATAAAAAATAAAAATATTTTAGATTATAAATGAAGTATTGTAGATATTCAACTATAAGAAATTTTATGAGTTTTATTATTTTTGAAGCTATCTAGCATCATTTTTAAAATACTTCAATTATTACTCTTTTAATATATGAAGATAAGCCCTGTCTCTGTATATGCTCTATTATTATAAAGTTCCAGTTTGTGTCAGTTTAAAATAGTTTTTGTCTTACTTAAATTAAACAAGCGTTTTTTTTTCATTTTCTTTAATAATATAATAAATAAACAGAAAAAATCTAAAATACATTATACAAACTGTTTAACATACATATTATTTAATTATTAATAATAGAAACAAATCAAAAATTGGAACACTAAATTTTGCATACAAGAGTTAATAAATTTCTCAAACAATTTCATTCTCATAGTAGTAGAAATTAAGCTCTTTAAAAATTTAAACCAACTTAGCTGCTATGACATTGCCTAGCTAATTACTTAGTTTCTAATGGACTAAAGACTAAACTGTATGATGAGAAGAATCTTTCTATGTTCGCTGATGACACAATAGTTGTGTAAAGCTTTTGGGTAAGTTTCATTGCTTCATATTTATATTTTTCATAGAATGCCACCATGTCAATGGTATTTCATTCTCAATTAGATCTTTAGAAAAAACATGGTATAAAAGGTACAGAATTTGCTTGGTAATGCAAGTAAAAACTGCTTGGTGTAGTAAAAATGTAAAACAAAATTTTTAGTCAGTACATTCCGTTTCAAAGCATCTTTTTAGGGATATTCTTTTCGTCTACTAAGAGAATTTCATTCTCAATTAGATATTTAGAAAAACCATGGTATAAATGGTACACACTTTCTGGATAAATTTCTATTGGCTATTCCATGCCAATTTCTATTTGCTCTTAACTAAGTTTATTTCCACTAAAGCAATGATCAAGAAAATTTACGCTCCTTGAATTTATTCAAATCACCAAAAATTTGCCATTTGCATCTTCAGTCTCGAATGCTTCCAGAAATTCTAGCCATATCTTTGTAGCCTCTCCTATAGCGCAAGTATTTATTTGTCATTTGTTCAAAGCAACTAAATATACTTTAATTTTTGAAAAAGTTAAACAAAAATGGAATATTATCTCGACCCTGACTACAGATAATAGTGCTCATTTGATATGAAGAAAGGTATTTAATAGCTATCTGGTAAAGTGCTAGAAGGCAAATCCAGTTATCAAGTCGGTTTCACGTGACTTTAACACCAACCATAGGGTAGAAGAACTATTCTTGCAACACCACCATGAGAATTGTCTGGATCGAAAAAATTGAAAAATCCCTATAAAGTCAAGGCTCAAAAAAAAATAGAGAAGAAAAGGGGGCCTGTCGGGACTTCAGTAGAGGCTCGGAAAAGGCAGATCTGCCGTACATGCCATAAAGAGGTTAGTAAGCGAGAAAGAAGTATGTCGGTGGATGGTGGCACTCTTCCTGGACATCGAGAACACATTTAACAACGCGAGCTGGAGAAAAATCATCAGACTATTAGAAGAAATGGAAATATCCCAATATCTGCAGAACTTGGTCAGGGATTGTTTCACAGACAGGAGCATTAATATAACTAAAAGATGACACAATGAAAACATCTGCGGGAGTGCCATAGGGCTCGGTCCTAGGTATGTTGCTCTGGATCTGGAATGTACTCTATAATGACATATTGAAGATAAACCTAGGAGAGGAAATACAAGCAATTACTTACACCCAGACGACCAGGTCATACTAGTGGAACACTCTGAGAATAGGCCCATAATGGATGGGACAAATACAACCCTTGAACTAGTTAGGAGAGAGAACTGATGCTAACCACATAGAAGACGGAGATTAACAGTGTTGAAATAAGAACTTTCCCTTCTAATCTGCCTGTTCTGAGTTGATTACTGGAGAGCTTTACTATTCATACTTGACAGCTGCATGAATATCTTAGATAGGGGAAATAGGCCTATGATGGCATACCACGTGTAATTTGTAAATCGTTTCCTGTCAAACGATATCGGCTGCATAGGCATGCGAATAGACAGTGTTTATTTGCAACGGTAAAGTTACAAACACTTATTAGTTCCACAGGTAAGTCTGTAACGAAAAGTGTGATTTGTTGAGTGTTGAACTATTATAACGCACAAAACAAAATCCTGGAAGACTCGTTGCGCACTTTCAAGTTGCTGGGTTGTTTAAAACAGCTTACCTTAAAAGTGCTACTCCTGCTAATGCCATAAATGCTTTTGCCAAAACAAGGGTTCAACCTTTTAATCCTGATATTTCTGAGGAATGGATGTTCACTCCATCATTGGTTACAGATAAACCTATAGAGAGCAATCAAGATCGAACTCAAAACATCCATCTAAACAATCCAGATTATAATCTAGAAGAAAACCTAGAAAGTGGACAAAATCACCCACCTAAAGAATGCCAACGGGTCCTTCTATAAAATACTCAACAGGATACTCTTCACATATCAAACACACAAAAACAAAAGAAGCGAAAAAAAAGGGGTAATAAATTCAACCCCTGAAATTCAAGAATTGAAAGATAAGGTTGTTGAAAAAGAAAATGTAGAAAGAAGAAAACTGGCAAACAAAGTTAAACGACAAATATAATAGAAGATAGAACCTAAAGGAAAAGCTACGTACAACAGTGGATTAGAACGGAAATCTGTGGATGACACTTTTTCTGAAAAACGAACATTATACCGAATGACAAAAGAAGGGATAGATAGAAATGATGAGAAGGAACAGGAATCCGCGAGCGATAACGAAAATTTTGAAGATAATGATCCCGACGTCGCTTGCTTGTATTGTAATGGTCTATATTCCCTCTCGAAGTCGAAAGAATGCTGGATTAAATGTCATGAGTGCCAATCCTGGTGTCACTCTGAATGCGCTGGGGTCGATAAAAAATGTAAAATATTTTATTGTGATTTATGTTCTTAATTATTTTAATGTGTGTTACTTTTTTATTTGTTGTATTATTGTTCTCATTGAATAAAATGCGAAAATTTCACTAAAACATATTTTTTATTCCACTAAAAACAATATAATAAAATAATATTTTAAATTAAGTATGTTGGAGTAAGAAAATATTAATTAGCAATAAATGTGAACGAGAAACAAACTGACTATATTACAATTTCGTTATTAGCATAACTAGTAGAAAAATCTTAAAGAAAAGACACAATTCATATAAAGCGTCTTATGATATTAATATGTAGAAAGCACGATAGTTTTCTTGTATTTTGTACCGAAATGTAACGGTTAATCAGTGGTATAATTTGGTAATATATTTTTTTGTGAATAAATCACAACCGTTGTAATTAGAATTATATAATTTTTGATACATTTCGACTTAAAGTATTAAATAATATAAACCTTTTTTAATACAAATTATATCATTATAATTTATAGATATTTTTTACCGCCAATTGAAAGAAAAACAATATTCATAGCTTATATTCTTATATAATCGAAATAATCGTTATTGATATAATCGATAGGTAAGTCTTGTTGAAAACGATTTTTTGACCAAGTTCAATCACCAAAATGTGTAATTTTTTAGAATTACATATTGTCGTTTATTCGCAAAATATCTCTATATCGGAGAATACTTAAGATCCCGTGGACTGACCGAGTCACAAATGAGGAGGTCCTCAGAAGAATGAATAAGAACAGAGAGGTACTGACCACCATCAAATCTCGAAAAATTCTTCGGACATATGCGAAATGAATCCAGATATGCTCTCCTTCAAGCTATCCTGCAAGGATGGAAATATTTGGAAAGCGAGGTCCAGGAAGAAGAAGGACATCTTGGTTAAAGAACCTCAGAATCTGGTTCAATGCTGTGCAGCTTTTCCACGCTGCTGCAGATAAGATAAATATTGCCATGATGATCGCCAACATTCGTAATGGATAGGGACATCAAGTAGAAGAATTCGCAAAAAATATAGTATAAAATTTTAAAAAAATTCACACCAACAAATAATTGTAACATAAAGTCTACTTTTATAGAGTTTTTTACAATTTTAGAAAACAAAAATGTTTACGCAGGTGTAGCAAAAATCGATGGGGATTATAAATCGATTATTAACTTCGATCCAAAATGGATAGACGATGTTGCCGATTGTTATATTAAATGTGATTTACAGATTTTTTATACTTCTGTACAAAAATGTTGTTTGTCTAAACTTGTTTTCTTGTTGTTTATACTTGTTTTCTTACAAATATTAGCTATATTATTCTTTTATTGATTTTCTTTAGTTTAAAATTTATTATTTCCAAAAAATGATATTGAGTGTATGATTTTGTGTATTTATTTTTTTTAACAATTTAACAAAGAACAATGAAGTCATGCTGCATCTTCTGTAATTACAAATAAACGAAAAAATCTCCTATTATAAAAATCTTTTCTTTATAATAAAATTTTAGATAATTGTACGTAAACAATTTATTTCAGATACTAAATCAGCACTTATAATAGATTGACAGATTTTATATTCAACTTGGCAATATCTATTTCTACAACAAAGTGACATCAGTCAAATGTCAAAAAATAAAATCCCAGATTATCGTGACCAACACCGGCGGTCAGGTACTGACTTGAGACAGTCTTTTTATTGGTAATTTTGCATCGTATTCATTTGTTTTTAGTGCTCGCGCAAAAATCAAAACAAAGTTACAAAAATCTTAACATTAAACCATTTTGATCTGTTGCAGTATTTAATTGCACGGTAACTAAAAAGTCATATAATAATAAAACCGAGAAATTGTGTAGTTTATTAAAATGTCGACTCAACCACACAGTAGAAAACGTGTGTGCTACTATTATGACAGTAAGTATAAAATAATTTTGAGAGTATGCTATATATTTTGTTCATTGCTTTTTTGAAAATGTTGTGTTTTCCACATTGTACGAAATTCGAAAGTATAAGTCAAGAAATCATCGACAGACTAATGCAACCGTAGAAAAGACGATTTTCTATTGGTCGCCTACTGACATGACGTATGCATGATGCTCATTTTTACTGTTTACCGATACTATTTGATTAGTCTGTCGTGATTTTCTTCAAAGATTATTAATTTTATCATTGATAATATTTATTAAATTTACAGGCGATATTGGAAATTATTACTATGGACAAGGACATCCAATGAAACCACATCGCATACGTATGACTCACAATTTGCTTCTTAATTATGGACTCTATAGGAAAATGGAAATTTATGTAGGTATCTTGGGAGCATGGTTTGGTAAAAGATATTAGTTTGAAATTATTTAATATCTAAATTTTACATCACAATTAAATATATAAAATTATATACATAAAATTGTATATTAGATTTTACCCCTTAATTTTGTATCACAGATTAAAATGGAGGGAACTTATTATGTAGGTATGTGAAAAAGAACAGAACTATTTCAAATAAAACTAATTAAACTTTTGAACTTTGACCTCTTGTTTGAAAATAAATTCACTTTATTTTTTTTATTTAACGTATTTTATGGCGGCTGAATTTATTTTATAAAAGTATATCTTTTTTCTCCCTAAAAAAATAACTCAATTTGGGTTTGACTTATATTTTAATCAGATTCTGGTAGTCTGGCTTGCAAGTTTTTCATCCCCTAGTATATACTGTATATTTCTCTATATAATCTGCTGTAAACTACTATTTTAGAGTTTAAGGTAGGTATACAAGCAAGAATATAAGGCCATTTGAGCTTTTTTAGTTGCTTTAAAATCTATATGTAAATAAAAAGGGAAAATCAGTGTAGTGGAACATAATAACCCAATAAAACTGATTTCTACTATATTAACTATTGCTGATACAGTTTTTCCTAGGCTCAAAAACAGTGTCTGCCCAACTCAGTCAAAACCTTTATTGTATGAGACAATAACTCTACCCTGTGTTGTAGACACTGATAAAAAATTGTAGATAGCTTGTACCAACATAAAAAAAGATGTTGCTTCCAAACAACAATTTGCTACATTTTGGACAATCATATTTAAAGAGTGAGCAGCACATGGCACAAAGAGAGCTAAATTATTGTAAACTTTAATATGTGCTTGCAAACCAGAATATTTACCACTTATATTACTGGCATTGTCATAAAGACTGGCCTCTACAGTTCTTAATATCTAATTTTAAAAGACTTTTAACATACCAATAACTGTTTCCTCAAGTTCTTGTGAGCTATGCCCAGTGTTTTTATAAAACCCCACCAATCTTTCCACAGGATTCTACTTATTGTTACAATATCTCAAAATCACTAAGTTGGTCATGGTGTTTTAACAATTTCATCAATGACTCGATTGGACAAAATAGTCAGTAAATCGTTACATATATCGTTTGATGGATAAGATGGATTTTGCCCTCACCTGGATATTTAAAATTCGATATTATGTGGATTTGTATGCCAATTTTATTTTACCATAAAAAGACCCCTTAAACCGGCGCTGCCTCAGCCACTTCTCTAGTGATTTCAAAATTACTACCAAAAACTACAACCTGTGTCTTATTGTTATTTACAGTAAGGTAATATTCTTAATGCCTTGAAAAAATTTTAACATTATTGAAAGAAGTTCTCATTGTAAGTAGGCTATTCTTAAAGTATCATCTGCATAAGTTACATTCATAGAATGAATATTTATCAGTGTAGTAGCATTGCCTTTAGACATTCAGTTGGGCATCGACTTGACGAACGACCCACACTCTTCAGGGGTAAATTCTATTTCATTGACATTTAGGCCAGCACTGTTAGAAGGCCAAGAAGGATGTTTATTTTGTCGTTTCCAAACCAGTTTTTTGTGGTTCTAGCTGTCTGACAGATGACAGACGACTATGTACTGCTGAAAAATATAATTTTTGCCAACACATAATTCACAAGGCTTGTATTAGGCTGTTTTGAAATATTTGTTGATATTTCACAGCATTTACGTACCCCTCAGTAAATTATCAAAAACACCATTACCCTCAAACTGTCACACAACCCCAAATCATCGCCTCTTTAAGAAATTTTATGGTCTGTTTCAAACAATTCTTGTGAAAAGTCACCAACACATACATCAAATTTTGATTTGTCACTAAAAATTACTCGGGACCAATCTTCTACCTGACAAGAAAGTTTAGATTTTGCCTAAATAAGCCTGACTTCATTTTATTTTGCTGTTAATAGTGGCTTCTTGCCTACATGAAAATATATATTTTTTAAACTATGAGTACACTTTTAGATTGTTATCAGTAATCGTACCTTATAAAACTAATCCAGCTTTATGTATCTAATTATGAGAGCATTTCCTTCACAAATTTAATTAAGTTTCATGATTCCATTCAGTTGTAACTTGCTTTATAGAGTAAAAACTATCATACATAAATATGGCGAAGGGGAATCATAAGGTTTTACTAGTAAATCCGTGAGAGTGTGTGCCGGTGTGGATTTGTATGGCTTCCGCAGTGAAGCATACAATTTTTTAATGTATTGTAAATTTTAACATAACAAATCTCTTCTATGGCAACCCATACCTATGTTCTCATACCCTATATCCGATTCTTGCAGTGAAAAGGTAACAAATTAGTTACCAAGAGTAGAAGAAAAACAAATTATGTTTTTTTATATTGCATTGTATTGCTAAAATTATATCTAAATACTTATTTATCAAGTAAAAAAAAAATAAAAGTTTTCAGTTTTTATAATAACAAAATGTTGAGTATATGCAACGATGGGATTGGCCAGAACAAAAAATTTTTTATTTAATTGTTATTTACTGTGAAATGATTCAAAGCAATTTGAATGTAGATGTATTTTACACTTCGCACACAACACACATTGGATCTTGTAGGATTGTTGATTAAACTGATATACCCCCTCCTTGAATGTTACCTTCGATGAGCAGTACTTCCATTTTCATAAGGATAAGACTTAAAATCTTATTGTGATATATTGGTTTTATTTGCCACGTTATATATTTTACGCACATTAACAATAACACTATCAATCACATTTATAAAAAGGGGCCACCACCATTTCTTTCCTTTTACCTCTAATCTGTAATTTGATATGCCGTTATCATGCAAATCAACAACACCAATATGTTGATTATACTCAGCTATCAATTTGGCTGAGGAATTAGTTGGATTTTCTTTTCTTTCCTGTCATATCTTTTTGCACCTGCGAGAAGTTCATTGTACAATTATTTGTTGCAACTGTCACTACAGAATTGTCATTCCATCTAACACTCTGTTCAGAATTGTAAGAAAATCGTAAGTACATGATCTTGTTTTTTAATATATTTTACACTTTCCATTGTACTATTACAAGTACGGTTTTCGCGGATCATCCCAGTAGCGTAAAATCCTTTTCTTTTAGCAAACCGAATAGCTTGTAGGATGAAGTTATCAAAAAATATATGATGATTAGATTTCCGTTCAATCACTGACAACAAATTCCGCACAACGTGTGCTCCTAGACCCAACTCGTTTTCATAAGCATTTGTTTTTCCACCATAAGGTAAAAATTTAAATAAATAGCCATTTGAACTACATAAACACCATAGTTTCAACCCAAACCTAATTGGTTTTCCTTTTATGTACATCTTACAACTATATGTTCTTCCAAAATATGGCACCATTTCCTCATCTATGGATAGATTATGAGAAAGTACTTCAAACTGCATGTTCTTTTCATTTTTCCAATCAAATTAGAATTATACAAACAAAAATGCAAAATCTAAATTTTATTATCTAAATCCGTTAGTCTGTCAACTTAGCGGCCCAATTACAGGAAATCCCAACGTCCCGTAAACGCAACATTATTAAATCGATTAGGTATGCAAAAACCAAAAAAGATTTTTGAAATACGACACACTATCTTTTCTACTGATAGATATATCAATAGAAATTGATAATTTCAGAAATATAATTTTATGTTTAGTACTGAAATTACAGCGACAAAAATATGAAAAAAGAATTTTTGATTTTTTCAATATTCACTAAATTAGAAAATATATACCGTTTTAATTATTTTATTAGATTCGTATTTTATGTCCTGTTTTAAATAAAATGTAGCAATAGAAATTATATTTGAGTAATGATACATAAAAAAAAATACAATTAAAAATGTTGCGTTTACGCAACATTGGGAACTAATGGGTTAAGGAGTTAATAGCTATACTAATTTTCATATAGTTTAAAATTTAACTTTTTAATTTAAAATTTACATACATTTTTTTGCAGAGACCCCATAAAGCTACTGCAGAAGAGATGACCAAATTTCATTCAGATGATTATATTAGATTTTTAAGATCAATTCGTCCAGACAATATGTCAGAATACAACAAACAAATGCAGAGATTTAATGTTGGAGAAGACTGTCCTGTATTTGATGGCTTATATGAATTTTGTCAACTATCTGCTGGGGGATCAGTGGCAGCTGCAGTAAAACTTAACAAACAAGCCTCAGAAATATGCATTAATTGGGGAGGTGGACTTCATCATGCCAAAAAGTCAGAAGCTTCAGGGTTTTGTTATGTCAATGATATTGTACTAGGTATATTAGAACTTTTAAAGTATCATCAACGTGTTTTGTATATTGATATTGATGTCCATCATGGAGATGGCGTTGAAGAAGCCTTTTATACTACTGATAGAGTCATGACTGTTTCATTCCACAAATATGGAGAATATTTCCCAGGTACAGGCGATTTACGAGACATTGGTGCAGGAAAGGGTAAATACTATGCAGTCAATATCCCTCTAAGAGATGGAATGGATGATGAGGCATATGAAAGTATATTTGTACCAATTATAAGTAAAGTTATGGAAACTTTTCAACCTAGTGCAGTAGTTTTACAATGTGGGGCAGACTCTTTAACAGGAGATCGTCTAGGTTGCTTTAATCTGACAGTGAAAGGACATGGCAAATGTGTTGAATTTGTAAAAAAATATAACTTACCATTCATGATGGTAGGAGGGGGTGGATACACGATCAGAAATGTTTCTAGAGCTTGGACTTATGAAACATCAGTAGCTCTTGGTGTAGAAATTGCAAATGAACTTCCATATAATGACTACTTTGAATACTTTGGACCTGACTTTAAACTTCATATCAGCCCAAGCAATATGGCCAATCAAAACACCCCTGAATATTTAGAGAAAATTAAAACAAGACTTTTTGAAAATTTGAGAATGTTACCTCATGCTTCCCTGGAGTACAAGTACAGGCTATTCCAGAAGATGCAATTAACGAAGAATCTGACAATGAGGATAAAGTTGATAAAGATGAACGATTGCCACAGAAAGATTTGGATAAAAGAATTGTTCCTGAAAACGAATTTTCTGACAGTGAAGATGAGGGAGAAGGAGATAGACGAGACAATAGAAGTTACAAAGGTAGAAAACGTCCACGGTTAGATAAAGGGGGAGAAAACAAAGAAGAAGATAAGATTAAAGATGAAATAAAGGCCGAAAAAGGTTTGTATTATATTCTTTTTATTAAATCTACACTCAAGGACAAAAATATGGAACATTTTGAAATTATCAATAAATACATTCAATATGATTTCATATTAACAAAGATTTATCACGATTTAAATGAATAATTAAAAAAATCAAACGCAATTTAACTAAGTAATTAAAAAAAAATTAAACATTGCAATTTTGGAATGGAAACAAAAACTATCTTCAAACAGTCTTAAGTATTGCTTAAGATGTTATATTTTAAGGTTTTGTTAAAAAAAAAACAATCAAATTAATTGCGAGTGTTCCTGCATCAAGGGGTTGACTAGTGCCTGTAACTCTCTAGGAATCCTCTTAATTAAATCTTGAAGTATATCCTTGAGGAATTGCATTCGTCTCCTTTTGTTCCAATCCTTAGCTCTCCAGTGCCATGGGAACAGGATTTTTTTAGAATGAGACGTTTTTAAAGTATCCGACAAATGCTCAATCAGATTTAAATCCTGGCTATATGGTGGCCAATATAATCTTTCAAATTGAACCTCATCAAGGTCAGCTTTCACTTTTCTAGTGACATGAGGACTAAAATGATTTCAACTTACATGCCAGCTGTCATTCGCCCAATCACCTCCACAAGTTTGGTATGTCCTTCCCAAACAATACCACCCCATAGCATTATGCCACCACCACAAAAACTAACACTGTATATGAGGTTAGAATTGCATACTGTTTGACAACTCTTCTGTAGATGTAGAAGTTTTGTACATCTAGCTTTGATAGTTGAATTTTGGTGTCCAAAACATTTTTCCACTGCTCGATAGTCTAATTAATATTTGTCTGGCATATTCTAAGTGACACCTTTTATCGTTTTGTGAGAACCGTGAAACTTTGGCAGGTCGTCTTGGTTTTAGATTTGCATCTTTTAACCTTCGTTTAACTGTTTTAGTACTAACATTAAAGCCCCACATCGTGAGGACCAAAAGCATCTATTTTCATTTCTTATTCTATTTTATTAAAGGAGAATCTCTTATTTGCTTATTTCTATACTGACTATTAAATATATTCCATTATAATTATTATATACCTAAATAATTATTCTTCATACAACTCCACAAATTTCAATGTTTTCTCTTCATTCCACTTCAATTTCGTTAAATAAAGTTCAAATACTTAAAAATCGACTTCACCCGAGCAATTCTTGACAGCAAATACATACTCATTTGAACGACTGTTTACATGAAGTAAGTATGAGGTAGGCCGTTCAAGTTTGGTCTTACCATCACTGCTTCCCGGGGTGGGAGGCGCCGTCTTTGGACGGTCTTCCCTTGGTGGGAGGGATTGCTCTCAATTTACTTGACTTGATTGGCTGATAGTTCAAGTTCTTGATCAAGCGCTTGAATATTTGTCTACTCGATTCTAGTTACTTCCTCAGGTAACTTAAAACAGCTCCTCGACTCATGTAAACCTTATTTAACCTGTTGTCTGTGGCACTTGTACACCGTTTTCTTTTCTGACCCAGTCTTTTTCCGTTATATCCTATTTCGCGATACCTTTTTAAAACTTTGATACAGCAAATGTTTGCAAGGACTTTGTAGATTGTATTTAGGAGCGTTATTCCCCGGTAGTTAATACAATGCTTTTTGTTTCCTTTTTTATGGATTGGTACAATATCCCCGTTTTTCCGTTCATCTGGCATTATTTCTTCTCGCAAAATGCCTTGAATTAGCTTGTATAAAGATCTGTACAACGCTTCTCCTCCGTGTTTTAAGCACTCTGTGGGTATACCATCGCTGCCTGGTGCCTTATTGTTTTTAAGTTTTTTAATTGTCTTGGTTGCTTGGTTACTTCTTCGTATGTCGGGTATTGGTCGTCTATTTCAGCTGTATGCATTTCCAGTGTGATGTATTTCTACTAGATTGGTCGTTAATAGAAGTTGATAGACGTATTCCTTCCCAAACAGTTGATAGAAGTATGCTTTCCAGGTTTTTAGGATTTCCTGGTCCTCCGTAATAAGCTATCTGCTGTCGTTTTGAAGGAAGTTTATTGTTCTTGCTTGGTACCCAGCCTTGATCTCCGAAACTCCTTTAAAGAATTATCTTACTTGATTGTTTTATATCTTCGTTTTTCTTTTATATCTCTGATTATTTGTTCCTGGTACTACTTTTTCTTTTTATTTGATTTATTGTTGCTGTTCTTGTCTGTTTATACATTTCACTGTTGTTGTGCGAGTAATTTTGTAGCATGTCCCTTCTAGCCGTGTTTCTTTCTTTTATGGATTTTAGATAATCGTCATCCAACCATTTTTTTGCTGTTCTATTTTGTATCCTAGTATTTCATCTTATACGCTTGTCAAAGTTAATTCCATATCTTTCCAAGCAGAGTCTACGTTGTTATAATCCTTTGTCTGTGTTAGCTCTATCTGTATGGCCTTTGGAAATTTTTGCTCTCTCATTATCCCTCAGAACTTTGGTATTCCCTAATATTGTTATACTCAATACCTGATATCAGTGTTTAGCAAGAAATTTCATAATTATATTAAGTAATATTCCATATTTTTATTCATAGTGTATTAAAAAACATTTTGTACATTCTAAGAAGTGATATTTAGCAAGTTTTTTAGATATTGGCATTTTATATTTGAACAACAATTCATATCTTGGTTAAGTATATTGTTAAAATATTTCTTGTTGAAGTGTTTAGTCAATCAATTCCAAATTAAATAAGATTCTAGAAATTTTTATTTAAAAAACTGATTTGTTTATTCTTTTTCAGTATTCTACTTGAATTTCAATTGCACTCATTAAGTTTTTATGTTTTTTTTTTTCGGAATATTTAAATGTCTGGACAAGATCTGTTCATTACTATACGCCTCTGGTTTATAAAGGATGTATCCTTCTTCTTCATGTGCCTTGTCCGTTCCGAACGTTGTCAATCAACATGGCTATTCTGACTTTGTTTACGGCAGATGTGAATAGTTCAGCAGATGACAATCCGAACCATTGCCGCAAGTTTTGAAGCCACGAGTGTCCTCTCCTCCCTAGACTCCTTCTGCTGTCTATTTTCCCTTGAACGATCAGCTGTAGTACTCGATATTATGTCTCATAACGTGACCCAAGTATTCCAACTTTCTTTTCTTTATACTTATTCCTACCTCTCTCTCTTTACCTATCCGGCGTAGTACCTCTTCGTTGGTCACGTGCTCAGTCCAGGATATACGTAATATACGTCGGTAAGCCCACATTTCGAAGGCCTCTAGTTTTTTCATCAATGTTGCGGTCATTGTCCACGCCTCCATTCCATACAACAAAACCGGGAATACATAACATTTCAGAAGTCGAATTTTGAGAGGTAGGGTGAGGCTTTTAGAGGTGAAAATTTGCTTCATGCTAGTGAACGATGCTCTTGCCTTTTCTACTCTTATACGTATTTCCTTCGCTTGATCCCAATTTGAGTTAACTGTTATTCCCAAGTAGATGTACGAACCCACGTGTTCAATTCTTTCATTGTCTAATATCAGTTGCTGTGGTGGTTGTTGGGTTTTGCTTACTAACATCCATTTGGTTTTTGTGATATTTAATCTGAGTCCGTATTGTGTACTTGTTTTTTGTATCTTACTCATTAGGCAACTCATTTCCCCCATGCTACTTGCTAGAATCACAGTGTCATCAGCATACCTTATGTTATTAATTATTTCTTCATTTATCTTTATGCCTTCTGTACTTTCCTCCATCGCTGTCTTAAATACTTCTTCTAAGTATATATTAAAGAGAAAAGGAGACAAGATACAGCCCTGTCGTACCCCTTTCTTGATCTCAATTTTATTGCTCCATGTAGATCCTACTTTCACTTTAGCTGTTTGACCCCAATAGAGACTCGCTATTGTTCGAATGTCTCTGTAGTCGACTCCGATCTTATGGAGAACTTCAATTATCTTTTCGTGCTTTACGTTATCGAATGCTTTTGGGTAGTCTATAAAGCATATGAACACGTCTTTGTTCATATCTCTGCAGCCCTGGATGAGTACCTGTAGACTAGGATGTATCCAACCCGTTAAAACAGAAGGTATTCAAAGGCTGTTTACCTTTGGCAATTTTCTTTTACACACTAATATTAAAGTAAAAACAGATTAGGAAAATAATCATCATCATCAATCAGCCAATCGCGTCCACTACTGGACATATGCCTTCCTCAGTTCATTCCAGTGTTATCTACACTGGGTCGCTTGTAGCCAGTTTCCCGCTACACGTTTTATATCATCGATCCATCTAGTCGGTGGTCGTCCTCAGCTTCTTTTATAGTATTGTTCTGAAGCTATTTTCTTGTGGCATTTTAAATTAATTGCTATTTAACTGGGAATAAGCCACAATTAAAGATAAAAATACGTTTATTGACGTTTCAATTTCCACTTCGGAAATCGTTCTCAAAATACAAACAGTAAATTGATTAAACAGTAATTTACTGTTTGTATTTTGAGAACGATTTCCGAAGTGGAAATTGAAACGTCAATAAACGTATTTTTATCTTTAATTGTGGCTTATTCCCAGTTAAATAGCAATTAATTCTTTTATAGTGTCTGGCCTCTATTCCATAATACGTCTTGTCCACCGTCCATCTTGTGTTCTGGTTAAGTGCTTTGCCCAGTTCCACTTAAGCGTCGTGGTTCTTTCGATGACATCTTGATCTCCTGATCTTTGCCTTAAAGAAAATAATACCTTAAATAAAACGTTATTGTGGTATTATTTCCTACGAAATTTAAAGTACCAGTTGATGTAGCCTATGCAAGACCATGTTATGAGGGTTGTTCAATAAGTCCTTAGAAACAGGTATAAAAAATATTTGAGACACCATAAAATAGGTGACTTTGACTCACTTTTAAAGTTTTTCACAATTTTTTTTTGTCAAAGTAATGAAAAGGTGCAGAACTGCTGCCGCGATTAGTGCAATTAAACCTAAATCTAATTTATTTAAATTAATGTCAAATATCATGGTTTCTGGCTTACGGGGTGTCAGTCTACTGA